CCTTGGTCGATGGAGAAGGTGTGTCGGGAGCGGCTGGGATCAGGGTGAGACCCTCAGTTCTCAACCCAGGGCGGAGGCTGCTAACGAGTAGCTCCCCATAGCCCGGGTGTCCCAGGCCTAAGGTTTCACTGGGGAGGGGCGCAGGTAGCTGTGCCATCGTTTCCATGGCAACACGTAGACACCCTCCGGATGATTGTAGACATAGGACTCGAACCCAGGACCAGAGGGCCGAGCCCACAGCTCATCGTTCAGCTCAGACTCCATCCACTTCGCTCCCCAGCCCCTCGACCCCGCTAAAGGTCGAGGTCTGGGGTGAGAGCGCTGACACAGGAACACGCAGGCACACGCACCTACAGACATGGCATCTGAAAGTGGCCTCGAACGGGGAAGGGACTCACTCGGGTCTGCTCTGCCTGCAGTGTCGCCCTCCGCCACCCGCCTTAGCAAGAGCAACGGAATTAGGAATTAGGATCGGTGGTGCCCGAAGTCAGTGCTTGATGATGGGGAGGGCCCGGCCCTTCGGAAACGGATGGGGTCTGGCCTAGAGCGCAAGGGGGTGGGGGAGGGGCTGACAAGCCCCAGCATCTCACTGTTCCTCGGTCTGCGGACCCCCGCCCCGTGTTCACACGCCGCCTTGCTGCCGCAGCCGGGCCGAGCTAATCAGCACAACATCCACCTATCGATCGCTGGCTCCGTGCCAGGCGGGCCGGCACCGTGCCAGTGGAGGCTGCGGGGCATGGGGCGGATAGCGCACAGCTGCAGGGGAAGGGGCACCCCCCTCACCCTGGCCCCATCCAGGGTACTGCTCAGAAAGAGGGTGCCTGCCCGGGCTGTGCTTGGGGGGATCACAGCCCGCTGGCCAGAGGTGAGACAGACAGTGTCGGGCTGAGAGCAGAGGGGGCCCTCCCTCCTCAGCCCCACCCCCTCCTCCTTATAAAAGCAAGAACAAAGAGGCCGCTGGGGAAGGAGGCTTTGATCTGACCCCACCTTCCCAGTTCTAGGCCAGGCACCGCCCAGAGTGCCCTTCGGAGGTGGAGGGCCGCTGGGAGCTCAGGAACCCAGGCATTCTGAAACCAGGGTGCTTCTCTCCTCTATCCCCTGCTTTTGCCCCCGTGCCCTGCTTGGCGCTGCCAGGGCTTGGACCATGCGCTGAGGCGCAAGTGGGTGGGCTGTCAGGAGCATCTGCCCCCTCCTCAGCACAGGAAGCCGGCCCGGGAGGTGGGAGAGGGTGCCAAGCTCCACAGCTGCTGCTGGCACCCACCTCACACTGCCCAGAGGGGTGCCCACTGAGGCCTGGCATGGATGGCCCAGGCACAGCTGGCGCGGAGGTCAGGCCAAGCATGCTGAGCGCAGGCTGCAGGAAGTCCTGGTTGGGAGGGAGCCACAGGGCAATAGGCCGGGGAGGGCAACAAAAAGATGGGCAGTTTATTGCAGGTTTGGTCCAGACACTTATAAAAATACAAATTAGCATGAAATTGAACCTCATGGTGAGTCCGTCTTCATAGAAGACAAGTGAGTAACCCCCTGAGGAGGGCAAGGTGTCCCAGGAAGAGGGTCTACAGGGCGGACAGCAGGACTGCCCTGCTCCAGCAATCCACCTTTCCCCAGGTCTTGAGCCTTGGCCGCCAGCTGGCTGCAGGATCCGATCCCCCAAATCCCAGTCTTCCAGGGGGATGGGATGAGGCCATGGAAGCAGTGACAGAGCCCTATGAATGTCTGTCTGGCCTCTGCTCGGGTTGCCCAGGCTGTCTGCAGTGCTCTCCTTACTCTTCTTCCGCCTGTGCTGAGGGGGCAGGCACCTGCAAAGGTCCCCTCAGGCCCTCTGGCCTCCCTCGTCAGTGTCCATCTCGTCTGTCTGGCAGGGACTCCTAGCGCAGGTGGCAGGGGCCCTTCCTCCTGAGGGTCTCAGGCTCCGTGGGGTGGCAAGGAGAGCCGCTGGCTCACAAAACTCGCAGGAGACGCAGAATTGGGAGCAGCAGCAGCAGCAAGAGACACAGGGGGCTGGGAGCACCCTCCCCTCGCCACCCGGACGTGCCACTCTCTCCAGGGCTCCCAACAGGATGGGCAGACTCGGACTCTGCAAGGGAAGGAGGCATGGATGGGTCCTCCCACGTGCTTAGCACCCGCTGGCTGTGGGTGCCACTTCCCTGGATATGCCAAACCAGCCCCTCCCGTGCCTAACCTACTATCTCAGCCAAAGCCCAACTTCCAGGTCTCCCCCAGATTGCCACTTGGGACAGTCAGCTATGGTCTTGAAGGACCTTGCCCCTGGAGGCCCCATTACCTTGAGCCAGCTTGGGGGAGGGGGCAGTGGAAGTTCCCACAAGGCTAAGAGGTGGAGAGGAGGCCAGGCTTGAATCTCCGCCCAGATTGTCCTCTCCCCTCCCCACCCGGTGTCCCTCCTTCCCAAGGGCCACCCTAGCCAGAGGGTGCTCCCCACGCCCCACACCCCATGCCCCGGCGCACTTACTTCTCTCCTTGCAGCAGACGGACACCTGGAGCCTCAAGCACTGGCCAGGGCTCTGCGGAGTGGGCACCACTGAGCAGTGGGGAATGTGGGAAGGAAGAAGTTAGCACAGGGCACGCCTTTATACACCGGTTCTGGCTTCAAACCCTGCTGCACCCCTCCTCCCCAGGGCCCTGACTTTGGGGCCACACCCACTACAGACCCCACTTGTGCCCCTCCATTTCTCCCGGCCTTCCTAGCCCCTCCCCTCCACAGTGCTCTCTAGGCCTCACCCTGCTCAGTGGGAGAGCTTTAGGAGCCACACCCAGTCTTCTCCAGGCCCCTTACCAGTGGCAGTGGCAGGGAGCCCCAGTACTCCCCACCTTCCCTGAGGGACCGCTCTGTGCCCTCTGTCACTCACAGATGTAGTAGTAAGTCTCTCCAGGCACGAACTCGAAGCCAAGGGAGAAGGGTGTGAAGCGCTGAATCTTCTCTGAGAATGGAACAGGGCCAAAGGGGGGGAAGGGGAAGGCCCACTCCCAGCGCTTGAAGGCACCTGGCCCCTCCGCCCGGCAGGCCTTGTAGCCTGGCCAGTCCACCATGTACAAGGCAAACGTCTCAGGGCCCTCTGGGGGGCCTGGGCCTTCGTAGTGGGGGCAGAAGATGTCCAGGTAATCGTTGAGGCCCACCTCCACCACGGCATCCCCCTGCAGCAGCCTGTGGGTATAGGCAGAGCTGAGTGGGCTCCAGCACAGCACGGTGGGGTGTGGGGTCAGAGGACCCCTCCTCGGAGGGCCCTGCAGCCTGTCCCCTCCCCCTGCAGATGGAGCAGCTCAGGGAGGGCTGAGTCTTCCAGGCTGACAACTCTTCAGCGACAAAGTGCAAGAAACAGATGAGGTGACCAGCTCTCAGGGTCACAGAGGTGCCTGCACCCCACAGAGCAACCGTGACAGCTGGGTGACCTCATCATAACCTTTCAGGCCGGCGCTGCCACCCACCTCTCTGGCCCCAGTGCCCCACACCAGGGCTGGCGCAGCACCTGGGCTTGGAACCATTAGGTGGGCGGATGTGGTGGGGAAGCTGGGGCTGAGGCGGGGTACACTGCCCACAGTGCAGGTACACACACAGGATGGGGGGCCTGGATACAGCAGCCTTCATAACACACACAGACGGCCAGCCCCACACACAGGAGCGGGATCCCACGGGGCTGATCACCGTTTGAATCCCAGCCCTGGTGGTTTGAAAAGATACACTGAGTGTGTGTCCCAAGTCCTGACGAGAGGAGAAATGAAGGAAAAAGGATTGTGGGGTGACCACAGCCCATCAGGGGTGCTTTCTTTCTCTTTTTCTCTGCCAATAAAACAATGAAAATAGACACACAGAGAAGGAGTCGGTCGGCCCTTTATTTTATTTTAAAGTTTTTGCCATAGGGCATGTGCGCTTGCTAGAAAGAGAAAAAGAAAGATGGGAAGAGAGAAAGTGAGAATCCCACCCCAGCCCCGTGGGGGGATAGCCACACTGCAATCCCTTCTCCTCCTGGGATTTCGGGCATGCGCGCGCGCACACACGTGCATGGTGTCATTTTCAAGCTGCCAGGTCTGGGACTCGAACCGTAAATCGGCCATGTGGGAGTCCAGCACTTTAATCACCATGCTACCTGCTGGTCCTGAGACTGCCCTTTAGCCCTCAATCCAGAATGCCAGGTTGACAAAATGAGTGAAGGGGGTCAGCTGATGGATGGCATGGCCGTTACGGCAGCTGGATCACACATGGTCTACTCCACCGAGGTTCGAGTCTGGACCTGGCAGCATGAAAAACATGCTGGATACACGTGCATGCCCGCCCCAAAATCCTGAGAGGAGAATGGAGAAGGGATTGCAGCATGGCCACCCCCCACCCCCCCACGCGAGGTTTTCTCTCTCCCTCTCAAGTGCACACACCCCAAGGCAAATTACAAAAAAAAGAAAGGAACGAGGGAGGGGGTACTAAACATCTCCTTTTGTTGCCAGGCCAAGGAAGTGTCAGGCATGGAGAGGAACCCCCCTCCTCCCAGCCGTCCTTCTCAGGACTCCCCATTTTTTCTGGGAGCTGCCTAGGGGAGGCAGCACAGGTGGGAAGGGCCTGAACAGGCTGCTCCCAACAGCACCAAATACTGCTGAAGCCTTGGGCCCATCCACCACCACAGCAAGACTGCCTGCTGAAAAGCCCCCACTGCCCCTCGATGGGTGGTCTGAGGACCACCCCGCGAGGACCACCACCATGGGGGTTCTGACCAGAATCAGAGTCCCGGGAGAGTCCCGGCTCAGTCCAGACCTGCTGGAACACAAGCTAAGTGAAGACAGGGCCCCTGAGGGCTCTGCTCCAGGGTGCTCAGTGCCTCAAGTGCCCCGCGCAGGGAGGCCCTCACTAAATATTTGTGGATCGAATGAATGACCCAGAAACCTCAGGGTTGGGGGCTAGGAAACCTGAATTTTTAACAGGTCCTTCAAGTGATTCAGAGGCACTGGTCTGGAACAGAGATAGAGGAATTCGGTGCCCAGGACAACAATAGCCCTATCACACGGTATTGGTATTGTAATGACTGGTTTTCACGCCTGCTTCCCCCACAGCCTGTTCTCCTGGGGGGGGGGCTTTCCACAGGGCAGGGTCTTGGTTTTCACATCTCTCTAGCTCCCAGTAACCTCACCCAGGTCCAGGCACACAAGATGTGCTTAGTAAATGTTAGGGAGTGAATAAATGAGCAGAGTCACAGATTGTCTCAAGTAGAAAATCAGAAAGAAAAACAGATGGGGAAGGGAGAGAGGCAGGGAAAATTGGGGAGGGGGATGGAAACTGGAAAACGCCGAGGCAGGCAGATCCGGAGCCAGAAAGAAATACGGTAACAAGGACGGAGCCTGCACCTCTTCATCTACATGACCTTGGCTGGCCCGCCCGGCTTCCCAGCGGAGGGGGTATCATTAGCCCATTTTACAGATGAGATAACTGAGGCTAAGGAGGTCAAACGACTCGCACAAAGGTGATTCAGCGGGAAGGGCTGGGCCGAGACAGGATAGAAATAGAAGGACCTATAAAGACCGAGACGAAAGCAGAGATACCGAATGAGATCAGGGCACGGAGCAAGCGCCAGAGGGGAGGCCAGCGAGAAGAGTAACCCAAACTCCTTCGCAAGAGTAAAGCCCCCACTTTTGCTCTCCAGTCTGTCCGCCTCTGCCTCCGCCGGCTGGAGCTGGGGACCACTAGGAAAGACGTGAGGGGGGCGGGGCCCAGAGTGTGCGCCGCGGCCCCCCAGCTCGGTGCTCTGAGACCCCACGGACCGCTCTCAAGGCTGGGGTCCTCCACCCGCCCCCTCAACACGCGAGGGCGGGGGGAGACCCAGGGCGCGCTTCGCCCCTCCCCCCTCCCCTGCCGGCTCAAACAAAGGAGTCCCGGCGCGCGGCCGAGCTCAGCCGGCGCCGCGCAAGCAGCGAGCGGCGCGCGCGCGCACAGCCCGGGAGCGCGCAGGACCGGCTGGGTTCTCGCCCGGTTCGGCCCAGCTACCTGGGGTTACTGGAGTTCCAGTAGACAGCGTGGCGGAGGCTGGAGCCCCCCCGCAGAGGGGAGCCAAGGAGCGCGGCCCAAAGGACAGTCCGCAGCAGGGGCAGCAGCCGCATCGCCCCCGGGGTCTGGTCTGGTCTGGCCCGGCCGGTCCCGGCCCGCTTCGCAGTCGGGGCGAGAAAGGTACAAAGTGGAAAGGGGGGTTGCGGGAAGGGGGTGGGGTACAGACTCACATGCCACGCCCCTGGATAACTTTCCACCTATGAGAGTGCGTCTCCGCCTCTCCACTCCGTGCCAACTCTTTAACCCCCTGCGCGCTGTGGCGCGCGCCAGGTTAGCCAGAGCTACTGAGGTCGCTCTGCGCTGCGAGGGGGGCGGGGACGCTTCCACTAGTTTTTTCTTTTTTGGGGGAGGTCACGCCGTTCGTGTTCGCCTTAGTACAGGGTAGAATGCTCTAGGAGTCTGGAAGATTTTAAATAGGGGCACGCACCATTTGCCCAGATAGGGGAAGTGAGGCATGGGTGAGGATCCACGAAACCTGCCCAGTCAGGCCTTCTGTTCAATCCTTTGCACATCTCGGGGTAGTGCGAGGGGAAGGAGCAGCCCCCCTTCCCTACAACACCATACGTGGCAGGCTGGATGCCCACTTCGGTGTTGGTGCCTGTGCCTCTCCACCCCACGCCCTCATTCTGGGAAGGCGGAGCAGGGGGTGGTTGCGGGGAGACACGCGGCCCCAGTCTCGAAGACGCAGTAATAAGGTGGTTGCGGCCTGTACAAAGCACCTTTGTTCCTGAGCCCTCAGGTGGGGGCGGGGGAGAGAGAGGAGGCAGGTGCGCGGCCTTGGGATCGTGGGAGCCGCCGCCCCGCTCCGCCCCGGCTCCGGGGCTCTGAGAACACCAGCCAGATCCACTTTTTCCAGCCACTGGTCAGAGGGTGGGGAAGGCAGGTCGGACAGCTTGGCCGGTTTGTCGACAGCCGCCCCTGGGGGTTGCGTGACTTGGAAACTGGTGGTGGCAGCAGGCGGACAGATCCCAGTGGCGCAGGGCTGTGCTGAGAGCCATCCCATACTGGGCAGAGCCGGGCGCGAGCATCCCGGGATGAGCACAGACCCATCCTAGGATCCGGCCCGCCCCTGCCGCCTCCTATGGGGCAGCAGCGTCTCCTGGCGGCCAGATTTGAAACCGCAGCGGGGCGACCCGGCGTCCAGGAGCACGCAAACTGCGAGGCGCGCTCCGAGATCTCACGTTTATTACCACTGAACAGAAACAGGCTGTGCGCAGCTCCCTCAGCCGCTCCCCAACCCCCGGCTGCAACCACGTGGGCAGGTCCCCAGGGTGCTGCTTCAAAGCACGTGGTGCTCGGTGTCTTGACTCCTGCTCCTTCAGTCACAGTGGGGGACCCCCAGGGACGAGTCCGCTTCCTTAAGTCCCAAGTCCAGGTCGGAGGCAGCGGGACATCAGGAGAGGTTAGAGGTAGAGCGAGCAGCCTGCTGGGGGCGGTGGCGCTGGCCTGGAGCCGAGAGACAAGGTCAGAGGTCCCCTTATCCCAGAGCACCCTCCAGCCGGCCGATCCTCAGTGCCCCTCCTCGCCTACCTGGAGGGTACCACTAGGGGCGAGAGTCCAGCTCCTGAGCCGGGCAGGTCACCTGATGGACAGCGGTCCTGGGGGTCGGCAGGCAGTGGCTTCCTAGGGGGCGGGGGCTTGGCAGGCCCCTGAGACTGAGAGAGAAGCAGGAAGCTGGCTTGGGGAAATTGTCACATGGCCCACCCCCAATGCACTGGTGCCAGGGAACACCAGCTTGGGGGCAGCACCAGAGGTCACCCTTGTCTCCAAACAAACCTGTTACCATTAAAAGAGCCACTGAGGTATGTGCCCATGGGCACAGGGGGCATCTCGCCACGGCCACCACTGCTACCAGCACCACAGCCCTAGGTGGGGGGAGAGGCCGTGCCCTTCTCTCCCCCCCTGTTACCTTCGGGCGCCTCACCACGGGGTCAGCTGGCAGAGGGCGGGTGGGGGGATGGGGTCGGTCAGCCAGCTCAGCCTGAACAGAGAGAGGGGCAGTGGCTGTGAGAGCGTAGCCAGGGCGGTGGGCATGCAGAGGTAACAAGGAGGGGGTCAAATCAACATGCAAGTCAGCCAGGGGACAGGAGGGAATGGGCATGCGCAGAGGCCTTGGGCGCATGCCAGCAGATGCCTCAGGGGAGGAAGGTGTGGGTCAGTAGAGGAGGCCCTGGCCGACTGCAGTCCCGCCAGTGACCACCAGATGGTGGTAGAAACCAAGGCAGGAGGCTCACCCTTTGCTGCTTCAGGACTCAGAATGTCTGAAGGCTGAGGGGCACCCTGGTCGCCTAACGAAGAGCACCACTGGCAGGGAGCAGGGATGAGAACTGCGGTTGGGCACCAAGCCTCCCATCTGCCCTGGGCCAGGGTGGAGCCTGGCCCAGATTTACCTGGAGTCTCTTGGGCACAGT